GTCGGAGACCTTCCGTCCCCACAGGCGTTTCATTCCCTCTATGTTCAGATCCTCGATACAGATGACATCATACTTCCTGAAGAGTTCGTGGCAGAGCTTCCACTGCCAGTCGTCGCGAAGATTGGAGATGCGCTCGTGCAGTATGGCTATGTCCCTTGCCAGGGACCTGCGGTGATTGGATTCCCAAATGATGCGGGAGCCTTTTGGATGCGAGCCGTCAGGATTTGTTCTATCCCATTTGCATAAAGCTTTGTCGTGGTCGTGCTGGAGTTTTTCAAGTTTCTTCAGATTTACCTTTAGCCAGAGTGGCGAGTCAACTGTCGTGCCATCGGAGAGCGAAAGAAATGTCTTTAGACCGAAGTCCATGCCTACCATTGCACCATTATGTGTCTTATGGTATGACTGTGGGGTTGAGTCCGTGACGATGAAGAGCCTGTATTCTCCAGGGTGGACCCGCTTGACACGCACGTTCTTGACCTTGCCTTCGTATGGTCTTGAATATGAGAACTTGAAGTGTTTCTTTATCTTGTTGATGACAAGGATATTGGAGTTCAGTTTGAAGCCGTCCTGCTTGAAGACAAAACTTGAGAACTGTGCTGCCCGCTTGAACTTGGGCGGACGCTTCGCCAGGTGCGAGAAAAACCGCTGGTACGAGGCATCAAGTCGTTCAAGTATTTCCTGTACCGTCTGTGCTCCTAAGCGGAAGCGGCTGATATGTCTTGCAAAATGCTTTTTCATCCGAAAGATATCGACATATCCTCCCATTAATGAATAATATCTCTTTTGCAATGCGAGAGCGTGATTCCATACGAAAGCGGCTTCCCCGAGCATCTGGTCCAGATACTTGTTTCTGTCGGAGTTGTATATGTTATATTCGTACGTAATCATACATCACATTAGATATATTGCAAATATATAATATTATGCTCATATTTGCAATATGGCTACAGCGGACAGATATACTTGCAGCAGACATTGCATATACAATGTTTCATACCACATAATCTGGTGCCCGAAATACAGACGAAAGGTACTTGTTGACGGGGTTGACGAACGATTAAAGGTCTTGTTGCATGAGAAAGCTCAGATGATTGGAGTCTCCATCGAAAGAATGGAGGTTATGCCGGATCATGTTCACCTTTTCGTCAAAGCTAACCCGCAACTTCCAATCCATTTCATTGTTAATCAATTAAAAGGTTATTCTTCGGTAATTCTGAGAAATGAGTTTCCAAAACTCAAAAGCAGATTGCCGTCATTATGGACTCATTCCTATTACGTGGAAACGATTGGACATATTTCCGAAGAAACAATCAAGAAGTACATCGAAGATCAGAAGAAAGTATAGTTCGCTTTCTTCCCCCGCCTAAAGACGGGGGTTCTCCCGCTCACAACCGCATAGCGTTTGGCGCAATTTTATTGGTGAATGTGGCAATGAAAATCAGCCGTAAAAAGGGAAGAGCTTCAACTGAAAGTTACGCACCACTCCCTCAAGGACATCAAAGTCTATGATGAGGAATCCTGTGTGCGCCTCCAACTTTCTTCCCGCCATGAACGGAGTCTGCATCTGGAGCGATGGACAGCTCACGGCATGCACTCCCCTCACATAACAGTAGTTGAACTTGTGATAGTGCCCCTGAAGATAGATATTCGGTTTCTTGCCTGCCGTCAGAGCCTCTACCGCCTTCTGCAACTTGTATGAGTAGGCATAGGAACTGCCGTCATTACCATGCCCGAGCCTTATCACAGCTCCATCAATGTTGATGTCGGCAAAGTCCGCTCCGAGGTAGGTCATGTTCGGCATGTCATTGCAGATATCCTCCACGATGTTCGCCCCGGCAAACTCATTGAAATAGGCATCGTGATTTCCGCTGATGGCATAGACGGGAAGGCTGCACTGCGAGAAGACCTCGATGGCAAGCTCCTTCTGCGCCTTGTATCCGATATGGGACAGTTCGTAAATCTGCGTGGACACCCTTCTCGGGGTGAGTCCCTCGACAAGGTCACCGCAATGGAGCACACACTCGCATCCGGCCTTTTCAAACTCCTTGAAGGCTTCCATATGCCATTCCACAGGGGAGTACTTGCTTCCGAGATGTCCGTCCGCAAGAACACCTATCTTGTGATGCCTTCCATGCAGGCACACCTTCGGATAGTGCAGGCTCTTGTCCTTCAGACCCTCTCCTTTCAGGAGGGCTTCAAGTTCATCCTTCGTGTACCGCTGCTGGAGTTTCTCCCACATCGGTTCGAATACCTTCTTCGGGGCATCATCAACGGGGATTTCGGCATATTTGTAAGTATGCCCGCCACATTCGTATTTCCCGTTCTCCAGCAGGGCTTCCGACACTCTCTGTCTCGGCTTGTTCAGTATCCTTGCCAATTCGCCTATGCTCGGTATCCTTCTGCCCTTCTCGTCAACTATCGTCTTTCCCATGAGAATATGTTTTGTTTGTAACGAAAGAGCAGCAACGGCTCTCCCTTTGTAATTTCATATCCGACACCAAAATCCAGTTCGCCCCCAATCCTGTTTTGACGGCTATAACCGCCCATCAAGACCAAGGACGAGTATTTCCCTACCATAACCTCCGAAGAGGCGAATACGGCATTGTTTTTAGCCTTTGGAGAGGTTGTTATAGTCTTCGTTATAAAAAGGGTTTCGGAGAATACGTTCAGGGAGTCGAGCCTCGGTTTGTACCCGCTGACCCATGCTTCATAATTGGAACCCCTGTAGTAGTTCTGCTCTATCGGCAGCGCGATGTATACAGTGTCTCTTGTCGTGATAGGAACTTGTATGGTGTCCACTACTCTTGATTCCACGAGCAAAGGCTCCCTGATGTATTCGGTATCTCTTATAAAGACGGAGTCAATCTGCACAATTGTCTCCCCTCCTGGGACATCCTTTCGGAATACCTTTGAAAGGAGAATGCCACCGACAAGTCCGATGGCAAGCAGAATGATTCCGTATATCTTTCTCATACTATCTCAATCGTGATTCTCTCTCCCCTGCGATAGGCAGGAAGAAGATGCAACTGCATGAGGTCGGTGAATCTCTTTGTACTGTTGGTCACCACGCCTTTTATCGTGTTATCCCCAACGAGAAGACACCCTAGGGTATCCTGTGCCCCGTTTCCTGTGTGGATCAACACCCCATCAAAGCCTTTGACATTCAGCAGCCGGGGGAGCTTGCCTCCAAAAGGTCTCGCCCAAGATCTATCCTTAAACTTAGGGCTGACGGTGTTCATGTCGACAACATATGTCCCCGTAGGAATTGCAGTGATGCCGTACTTCTTCTGAACCTTTATGATAGACTCGGGCATCGAGTCATCAAGTCCCCTGTCGACATCCTCGAGTGTATTGCAGAAAAAGACCCCATTAACATAGAGTCTTCCAATGGTGTAAGAGTCCTTCTTCCACCTTCTCTCAACCTTCAGCTTCATATCGTTGTTCCATTTTCGGCATTTCATGACCATCCATATATCGCAGTACCGGGCACTCGTCATCGGGACGGGCGCACTTATGCGCACAACTGACCGCAGATGCGTATATCATATCCCTCTGTTCAAGAAGCTCCATCCTACTCTCCAAAGTGGCTATGCGCTTCTCGAGCCTGTCGGCATATTCGTTCTTGCCGTAAAAGAGTTTGCTTATCAGTGTAGTCAGGATTCCCGTGCCTACTACTGCGATGATGATAGATGTCCAATCCATAACTATGAGCCGAGGAATTTACCGAGAGTATCCTTGATATAAGGCACTCCCGCTGCGATTAGTACCATGATACTGAGGATGGCTGCGCAGTTCCCCTTGCAGCATGCAAAGACGAATCCACCGATGGCAGCAAAGAACCATGCAGCCAGCACGATGAATGTCGCTATGTTTTCGCCTTTAAGGCGGTCAATGAATCTAGACATAACCTACAATTTTTGCTTCACCGCAAGATAAGAACAATAACGGCCCTCAAAACGAAACGGAATTCACGTTATTGCACGCTGACTTCTCCCACCACTAAAGTAGTGGGTTTTCCCGCAGCCAAATCATAAATCGATCCATGATCTTACCGAATTATGCGCCAAAACCGATGAGTTAGAATCGGTCTTTCTCAAACCTCTTGCAGAACTTCTGCATGAACTCGTCATGACCTTCAAGGTTTCTTCCCGAAATGGCTTGTGTAGCTTGAAGGTAATCGTTTACCTCGTCAAGCAGTTTCCTTCGGTCTTTCATGCAACGAATCTCCTTGAAATTTTTGACGATGGTCACAATCATTGTTCCTACGAACGCAGCCCATAAGATGAGCATCAATATCATTTTTACTACTTCCATAAATTAAAATCGTATTTGATTGGTATTTTATTTCTCGGTTAATCGGTAAACAAGTGCAATTGCGCCTAAAGCTTCCTCCTCTTTGCCAAAGTAAGCGGATTATTCATGTTTCCCTGGGGTGTCACCCAATGCAAGTTATCGGCATGGTTATTCGCTCGGTTAGTGTCCTTATGGTCAACATACATTCCCCGTCTATATCCATCCGTGCCGTGGAAAGCCATAGCGACAAGCACATGAACAAGCATAGCCTTTCTGCCATAACCCCGATTGAGATAGACTGCGACATATCCGCTTTTCTGGAGGTGCTGCTTGAGGACAAGTCCGTCACTCTTTCTTGCCACCTCGCCAGTATTGCTGACAATATAGCCATCCCAATACGGAATATCTTTCCATTCTTCCATCTATTGCAGCAGGTTAGTTACTTGTTAGTTAGCAGTTAGTTAGTTGTTAGTTAGTCAAAGTGCTTGAGTATATCTATGAGAGTATCAGCCTTGCCTATAAAAATGCCGAAATAAGCAGCATCACACTCTGCCTTGCGCCTCTGCTCGTCCGCAGTCTTTAGATAGTGGTCTCTCCACTCCTCCAAGGCTTTCTTGGTGATGATGATGGCAGGCTCTCCATTGAACTGGATTCCTGCCTCGTATTCAAGTTTGTCAAACTGCATGTCTATTCCTCCATTACTTAATCAATCCTTATCGTGTTGTCTCTTTCGTTGTAACTAAGTTTCCTAACATTACAGCACTCAACAACTACAATAGCATCGTCTGGATAGTTCATGAGCAACTCAAGTAACTCCTTCTTTGTTACCCCTTTAGGTGTATGAGTTGTTCGTAAGGCATCTTCTTTTCTTGCAAGCTCTTTAACTTCTTCACTTACCATATCTATTCCTCCCTGAAAAGCTCGTTGATGATTTCGTTGATAATGTCGGCTCTTCCGCACCATCTACCCATGTCTATGAGTGGATTGGAATGTAGAATGCCTTGTTCTATTTCACACTTCTTCTTCTCTAGATACTCCTTGTATTGTCTATCTTTCCATTCAGCCATGAGTGTTGCTCCTGTACTTGCAATTATTATAGCATCCAGCTGCTTACCCACAGTAAGACCGATTTCTCTTGCTTTCTCTTCGTTTGTCATATCACTTCACTATTTTAGATTTGAACCATTCTACACCCTCCTTAAATCCAGGGATTTGGTCATCATCATATCCGTTTGTGCAGTCATATGCTGCTTGCTTGATTTCTTCCTCACTCGGCATCTCAATCACTTCAGCACCTTTGAGGACGGCTCTGATTTTAGGGTTAGTTATCATTTCCCAATATTTGTCAACAGTCTTGGACATATCGTTCTTGGTTTCAAGCATTAAGTCCCATGTATCAAGTTTCTCCTTTTGATAGTCATCCATGATTTCGGCTCCTTTGAGCACCTTGCTGAGCTTCTCTGCCATTGATTCAGCCTCTTCTTTGGTATTGAAATAGTTGCCTGATGCGAAAAACAAATCATCATGTTGATGCCTTGTATCACTATGTTTTATGGGATAAATTCCGAATTTATCCATATAAAGTATCCAATACTTCTCACCCTTATTTACTCGTTCCATAATTATTCCTCCTTAATCTTATCGTTTACGTATTCATCAAGCACTCGGCCTGCTTCGCCTCGCTTGCCCTTGAAATAGGCTTTCGTGGACGGCTTCACCGAAGCGGACATTATCTCCTTCTTCTCCTCGGCGTGTCTCCGTCTGGGAGGCTGATTATCCTTTGAAAATCTCATACCGAAGCCTCCCACTCCTTAATCAAGCCATCAGTCGGAGGGAGCGGAATCCATGCAATGATTTCTCCATATATCTCCTCGTCAAAAATCTCATCATAGGTTCCCCAATAATAAGTAGGCCCTTCGTCCTCGTCATATTGCTCATTGAGAGCCAAGATGTATAACTCTCCGCTTGAGCAAAGGCACACACACATATCTGAGAATCTGCCTCCGTCCGTTGCATGTGGGCAATTAGGGAGGTTGTCCTTGCTTTTAAACCATTGTTGTTCCATGCTCTTTTAATTTTCCGTAAAGTTAATAATTTATCGGGAATAAAACAAGCCTGCGCGGTAATAAAAATTTCTTTGACTCCCATGCTTGCCGATTTTGCTGACATCGGCAAAATCAGCTGTCCGAAAATTTAGGACAAGTGAGCAAGTTACCAGCAAGTTAAAAAACGGCAATACGCATGGTTGTAGTGCAGATATGAAGGGTCAGCGGATTTTCTCGGCAAATAAAAAGGAGCGCAATCCGTCAAGACTGCGCCCCGACCTATCCCCGAAAAGGATAGGGAGAAAGTTACCGATTTCTAGAGTGGAAAGCGGTGGGTTACTCGCCCTCCGCAGGTGCCTCGTATGAGGTAGCCACATCGTCCTTCTTGACAATGGTCATCTTCTCGTCCACAAGCATCAGATGCACGGACTTGAACTGGGTGTTGACCACCATCTTGCTCTGACGGTCATAGTAGAATGAAAGTGCGAGAGAGAAGGTGCTGCGACCAGTCTCGCTGGCATTGACATCTCCGCTTGGGAGAACATCGTGTTCAATGATATAATACATAGCCTATGTTGTTTTAAGGGTTAATCGTTTGATACTGAGAATGCGCCTTCCGAATTTGCATTGCCGAAGAATGTGCTTGTGACAACATCCCACATTCCAGGTTCTCCGTGATAGGTACACGGGCGCATATCCATTACCTTGAGACCGCCTGCATCGGTGACGGTGTATCGGTAGAAATCTGTTCGTGTATTGCTCGTTACTGCCGTCCCATTGTTATTTATGGCAAATAAATATATAGGACGGGTAATATCTTTCGTTGTGCCAAATGGGTTCAATGCCTCAAGAGAACTACGCAAGGAGAAGTTTTCAAAAAATGCCCCACTCGGAGCCAGTGTGATGACAATGCGGTTTCCGTAGTATATAGGAAATGAATCGGGATTGGAGTATCCCGATGCACCATTGCGGAAAATAAAGTAATATATCCGCCTTTCATTATATTTGTCTATGTAAAGACCTGAATCCCAGCCAACATTTGCGCCAAAAAATTTTGAGTCTTGCGTTCTGCGTCTGACATCCAGCTTATAAGTATGCGTTCTATTTGGCTCCATTCCCGTATTGATGTAAGCCACACCGTCCCCAACGAGAGCCTTGTACCACACAACTCCATCGGGTGCTGGGTCGGGGTCATCCCCTCCTCCCCCGTACCCCTCTACAAGAGTGTGTACTGCATCTCCGAGCAGGGTGTCACCTGCTCCCGTGGTCTCGTTGGCATAGTCTATGAGACCTTGTATCTGTGATTTCAATGTTGCCATAATTAGATGAGATTCTGCGCGTCAATATAGTCTTGATAGATGGCTGCTGCCTGCGAGAGATTGTCCTGCACCTCTTGTGCGAGGTCGGTGGCAGGGATACCTTCTGATGGCTTCGCGTACCTTTGCTCCACCTCTGCTCGATATGCAAGTCGGTATGAATCGTAATTCCAAGTATCAAAGGAAGAAGAGACCCATACCCTTATGATATCAGCCTCAAACTCTCGGATAGATGCCACCAGGCTAAAATTCGCCTGCTGCGACTTCAATGCCGTGAGGCGGAAAGTGTATCCGCTAAACTCCAAAATCACCTGCTTCCCTGCATCATGTGCTGCCTTAATTTCGTTATAGGTAGTCACATCGTACTCTGCCACGAACACACCGTTCTTAGCTGCTTCGTTGATGGCGGCTACAAGGTTGTCCTTCGCCTCGGTGGTGAGGTTTGCCAAGTCACCGACTTTTGCGGACAAAGCGGTAAGTTCCGACTTGTCAGCCTTGCTGGTATTCAGCCCGTCCCATACGGAGTTAATGCCCGACTCCAGTATGCCCTTCGCTCCGGCCACTGACTCGTCCACATAGGTCTTGTCAGCCTTGTCATCTAACGCACTCGCCAACGCCTTTCCCTGCTTCGCTGACAGGGCTGCGTCCGTCCTGTCGCTATCAAGGCTGTCTATGATGTCAATAGACTGACCTCCCTCATTCAGCTTCGCCTGGACATCCTCCGACAAGTCGGACTCAGGGATACCTAAAGATGGTTTGGTGTACTTGACAGAGATTTGCCGAGATAGGGCGGTAACATCACCTGCTGAAGCCAATGTCATCACTTGGGATGACCACTCTGTACCTTCTACTGTAAGTACCTTTACTTTTGTTGTGCCAGAATCCACAAATGCCTCTATGAATCTGGCAAAGATACCTTTATATTCAAATAATGGAATAAATCCTGTCCCATTCTGTGCAACTATGAGTTTGCCCCCCAAATATGCAGCCTTTATCTCCGTTAAGGATGTGCTGTTTACCTGCGCAATAAATACCTCTTCCGCTCCACCACCAGAGTTTAATTTCGCCTTTACTTCCTCAGACAGGTCTACTTCCGGTATCCCGGCCTCAGGCTTGACATACTTTGTGTCGGCATACTGCTTGTTGACTGCATCGGTGTTACTCGTAGGAGTGGCAATGCCGTGCAGACGGACATCAATGTCACCACTTGATGTTTTTGCTTCAATATTAACCCTTATGTCAGTAGGAGACATCGATTCTGCTGCCGTGACCTTTACCTGTGCGGTAGTGTCCTTTATCTCCAAGAGAGGCGTGGTGACTCCCCTTGCGAAGGTCTTTCTTCCTTCGATGGTCTCGTCTCCCGTGATATGGACAACGCCTCCTGGAGGGGTACTGTTGAAGACCATAGTGTTACCCTGCTGCTCGATGCTCATGTTCGCACCCTCGACAATCCTGAGGATGTTTACACCGTTTATCTTTGCATCAAGACCGTCCTTTCCGGGGTCTCCCTGCTTGCCCCTCAACGCCTCCTTCTGCTCATCGGTAAGGTCATCAAAGGTCAATGACTTGCCATCCTCTCCCGGGTCTCCCTTCGGTCCCTTAGACCACTCGAGGAAATCATCCAACGTGCCTTCATGGCCGTCAATGAGCCACAACTCATAGTTGTTCGCTCCCCTTCCATTCGTGGTGAGATTGCCAGCGAGGTCGATGGTCTCCATGTTAAGGTCACTCTCGGTCGGTCTGCTCTCCTGCGATGTGTACTCGACAAGATCAACAAACTCCACCTCGTCAACTGCGGTCTGCCCCGCCAATCCGAAGTTCTCGAAGAGAGTGAGATGGTGTGTGCCATATCGGACATGATCCTTGCCATACCATACGAAGAGGACAACATTCGTGTCAACAATCGTGAATGGGATGGTACTCTTGTTTCCGAACTGGTCTGTGAGAATCAACTGAAGGTCTCGGTTAGCAAGCGGGGAAGCCTCCCCGTCAGTGGTAACCGTCCACCTTCCAGTGATGTCTTTTCCAAATCGTATCTTTCTCATAGCTATGTTCTTAATAGGGGCGAATGTAACAAATCATTTAAATCTCAAACGAAACTCATGAATGGTTATTGCACTCGCCCCGATGTTATTTACTAATAATGCCAGCCATCGTCATCGATGTAGATGCGCTCCATATGCAGGTCCCTCGTAACCCTCGTGAAATAGATGACCCTGTCATCATCATTCCTCTCCGAGAAGTAGTAGGTAGAATACAATCCGTCATCAAGTCGGACGCACACGGTTGCATATGAATCCACCGCGAGGTCTACGGAGTCGTAATCGGCATATGCTTCGTCCTCAGGACTGATGACAAGAGAAAGCCCCCTTGAAACATTATCGCCATTTATCGCCACCTCCCTGTTGAAATGGAACTTGTTGTCATCCTTGTCGAAAAACAGGTACGGAGAAGAGGTGGATTTTCTTCCGTTGAAGTAGATTCGGTTATATGTGCCACCCACCTCGAAATAGGATGCACCGAACTTTTGCAGCAGATTCCCCTCCTTCTTTGCCCATCTGTCATCTCCTGCATCAACCGTCACCATGTCGGCAATCTTCTGCTTCTCGGCATCCGTAAGGAGTGAATATCCGTCCACAATCTTCAGGATGATTGTACCTGCTCCTGTTATCGGAGATCCTGTGAACTTCAATCCATCGACAATGGAGGTCACGCCCACACTTGTAACTCCTCCGGCACTAGGCTCTGAACCGCCACTTTTAGTCTCAACCCCAACAGATACATTATCAATCTGACTCCGTATGCCCGACACCTTCGCCTCGGTGCTCTTCTGCTGCCTGAAGGTCTTCTGGAAGAAGGATGATGCCTTCTCGTCCCTCAACGTGATCCTTATGCTCGGAAGAACCGATTCGCCATAGGTGACGGTCACGGAATCAATGAGGATGTAATCGGTGACACCGTCAATAATGTCGGCATCGACAAGTGTCATGTACCTGCCCGATGTGAGATACTCCTTCGCTCCATCTTGGAAAATAGGGTCTATCTCAGGCTCATATACGAACTTCGGCTTGCTCATGTTCGCAAGGACTCTCCTCGCCTCTGTAAGAAGCCTGTTTTCAGCGGTAGTAACATAAATGTTAGGCATGGATATATCCGTCAGTACAAACCTGTCATTCGCCTCTATCTGGTAGATGGAATTAGGGAAATACTGACTGATATCCGTATCATTCTGCCTGTTGCAGGTGAGTATCCATGAGTCCGTTTCGGCATTGTACTCGCATGACTTTATCGCAAACTCCCTACCGGCGCACTTTCCCGTCTTCATGCTGACGGTTCCTATGCCGTTGGAAGCGGTCGTTGCCTGCTTAGAGATGTCGAACCCAAACTGCTTGGTGACGATGGTGAAGGTCTCTGCAAGATCATACTTACACTTCCACTCAATCTTATGCTCGGATGATGACATCGCAGTAAGATCGAAGGTGACGAGAGGCACAGATGCAGTAATGCTTCCGTAGATATACAGGTCAGCAGTAACTGTACCGCCCTGTGAGTACTGACAAGAATATACCTTTGCGTAATCGTCAAAGAAATAGACATCTGCCGACCCATCGCTATTGAAAATCAACGGAACAGGAATCGTCTTCAGTGTGATATTATCGGTGCTCCTATTCAGTTTCAATACTACAGCAGCTTTAAGCTCCGCATCAAAAGTGACAATGTTAGGGGTGATATGGTAGTTCCATCCCTTTCCGCGAATAAGGAACTTGCCCGTGTTCGGGATATTACCCAACGGAAGAGAAGAAATCAACTGTTCAACGGGAATTGCTCGTCCTGGGCCAGCAACAGAGAAGGTGATATGTGAATTAAAGTCGGTGTATTCCCCCGAAGCAAAGACATCACTACCATCGCTCGGATTCATGTATATTCCGTTGTCTGCAATGGATGACCCCGAAAGAAGTTCATCCACCCTCTCGGAATCATCGTAGATGGATACTTTTGGATAGTACATGCTTGATCCACTCATGTAATGACGGATATCCCCGATGGTCACCTCTTCAAGCGAAGGATAAATCTCCTTGTTGTCTCCGCTACCATCGAAATACACAACCTTCTCGATGTCTCCGTATTTTGCTATTGCCTCGGCATCCTCGACATATGCCTTTCTTGCATCAGGCATACCGTCCGTCATGCCCCATAGGGAGACAGGAAGCATAAGGTTCGGGATGTCTACACTCTCGGCATTGTGGATGATCTTTCCGTTGTAGTACCGAGAAGGAAGGTTTCTTGTAGATCCGTAGGCAAAGAGTCTCGTTGCGAAATCCGATGCGGAACTGATGGACTTCTTTATCAGCTTCAATCCCTTGCCCTTGCCGTACAGGAATGCTCCCGTAGTGTTGCCCACAGTCTGGATATTCGGTCTCCCGAGGATGATGTAGTGGCCGTCTGCCCTCTTCTCATAGACCCAGCCGATACCCTTCCATAGGTTGTATATCTCATTGAGCGCATCAAGACAGGAAGAGCCTGCGCTCATGGAGAAATTCCTCGTATCTTCAAGAAGGGATTTCAAGTCGGCATCTTCCGTATATTCCGTGACAACATGCCACTGCTCTCCGGCATTGTTGGCGTTCATGCATGCCTGTATCCTGTCAGCTATGCCTGCGACAGGCTCATAGGTAGAGATGTTCCCCCTTGTGGAGAAATGGATATCATTGTCATGCATCACGATGTCCCGGAAGAGAGTCCTTTCAAGCATCTTTGTGGGAGCATAGAACTGAAGGTTGGAGTACAGGAAGGAATCGCCACTCATGCCCGTCCTAGCCTGCTTTGTGACCTGCGGAAGGGTATACATGACATACCTGTTGGGATACCCCAATCCCGTATCCTCAGGGTCGTAGTCGACATAGCATCCTACAGCGAATTCAATCGGGGATGGCATCGACAATGATGGAAACTCAATGCAGTCAGGCTGCCCGAAGGTAGATGTATACCTCGGACAACCCTCTGCGATAAACTGCCCCTGCGGGCTGAAAATCTTGAATCTTGACATATGCTAAAGTATTCCAAGGCAGTTCCATGCACTGCCGTCAAACTCAAAGAGATAGAATATCCCGCCACGAAGCCCTTCGTTCGGGATGTTGTTGATGGGATAGACTCCCGTTGCGGTGACATTGAGGGTCGGTGCCGTTGCCGTGTTCTTGTTGGCAAACTTCACGCACACACCTGCATTCTTCTCCAACACGAAATTCGAGATTGCAACCGTCTTCGCAGAACCAGACCCGCTGCTCGTGCTTGTGCCTGTAAAGACAGGAAGAATCTTCTCTATATCGGGATTGAAGGAGAGAAGTGTAATAGGGTCATCGACACGGAACTTGACCTTGAAGATCGCCCTTGCCCAGTTGCCCCTCGCCCTGAAGGAGTCCTCCGTATATCCAAGATACCTCACGTTCCTTCTTCCGATGGCGGTGTAGGAGTCATAGATTCGGAATGTCCCCTGCCTTATAGCGTTGAAGAAAGACTGAATCTGGTTCCTCAGGACAGCCGTGGCGGGTATTGCTCCATCGGCAAATGCCTTGACATAGAATGACACCTCGAAATCATAGGAGTCATAGAACATCTGCTCCGTATACTCCTCTTTGCCGTGCTCGTCCTTCCAGTCATTGGAATAGACCTTTTTAGGGTTGGGAAGAGCAGGGTATGGATTGCTCTTCGCAATCATACCCCACTTCTGAGCCGTATCCTCGGCATAGATTCCCGTCTGAATGTAAAATGGCTTATAGCCAGATACTTTTGGAATGTAAATCATATCTATTGCATTATTACTTTAAGTCCATCACCTCCACCCGAAAATGAACCCATCATGGAGGAGAGTTTAGACAGGATACCTTCCGCTGCGATGGCTGACCTAAAGGTGTTGGTCTGGATATCAGTAAGCGACACCCTGTTCGCAGCTACATCTGCCCTGATGGCATTGATGTAACTTGCAAGGAGGTTTGCGGTGTCCTCGGTGATGCTCTTTATGCCGTTGCTCATACCGCCACCCGTCTCCTCTTTGGACAGTTCAATACCCTGTGCCTTCAAGGCATCCATAAGGCGGTTGGTGTACTCTACAGCAGTTTCAGTATCATTCTTGATACCTTCTGCAAGCGCGCTGAAATAAGAGGCTATCTGCTCCTCGGAAAGATTACCCTCTCCCAACTGCTCATAAAACGACATCACATCGTTCTCGTACTTGTCGAGGACATTGTCGAGGATGAATGCAGAAACGAGGTTCTTTGCGATGCTCTGAGCAAGGTCGCTGAAGATGACATCCATGTTCTCTGCAAGATCAACAGTGGCATCGCCAATCTCCATGTACTCGTTGATGAGGGTGTCGGCCATGTCATCGGCAAGCTGACCAAAGACATTCTTCACCTCGCTCCTCAACTGTTCCATCGCCTTTGTATATGCATCGGTATCTTCAATCGCCTTCTCGAGCCATGCCCGGCTTTCATTGTCGAGGTCTTTGTAGGTATCAAGAATTGCCTGAAGAGCGTTGGAGTTAAGGGCACCGTTCGCGTCAATCAACTGATAGCCGAGATCCTCCGCTGCCTCTTTAAGGTCTAGTTTCCGCTGATTCTTGGAGAGAGACAGCATGCCGTTGTTCCACTTCTTGAAGAACACGTTCGTCTTCTGCTTCTCCTCCTCGACAGCCTTGCCGTACTCCTTCATAAGGTTCACCGCGTTGCGCATAGACCTCAGGGAATTGTCTCCGAAGATGGTATCCACCCCGTCACTCAAAGACAGGTCAAGACTGAGCTTGCGAGCCTCTTCCCTTGCCTCCGCAAAGGTGCGCTTCAGTTCCTGTCTTTCAGCAATGCTCTAAAAAAACATCTTGGCACTATAAGAGATGAGGGAAATGAATGCAGTCTCGTAATGACCCTTCGCATAACTCTCTATGACATCGGATGACATATTCACGAATTCCTTCATTGAAGAGAGCGCATTTGCCATATCCTCGTTTCCATAAGCATCGGCAATGCCCTTTACTGAATCAGCAAGTTCACCAAATGCCTGCGCAGCCTTCTTTACCCTCTTGATGGTCTCTTCCTTGATCTGCTGGCTTGTCTTCTTGCCCACAGCATCCAATGCCTTCCTAAAGGCCTCGGTAAACTCATTGAGTCTTTCCCAGTTCTTTCCATCCTCTCCGAGCAGGGCGGTGACAAGTTCCTCCGGCAACTGATTGACATCAAAGTTGTCAACTGCCTCCTTGATGGCATTGAGTTCCATGATGGTCTTATCTCCCCAATTGGACAGGTCAAAGGCTTCAAGCCCCCCCCATTCCTTGACATAGTTCTTCGCAAGGTCACGGACTTTCTCCATCATGACATCGGAGTTGTACTGCTTCTCCTTGTCGGCAAGTTCCTCGAGCGCATTCTCGCCAGAATCGAGGTACTTTGCCCAAGCCTCATCACCATACTTCTCCCGGATGGCAGCAATCGCAGCCTCGTTCTTCGTTGCCTCCTGGAACTCAACCTTGAGGTCATTCAACCTGTTGTCAACGGCATTGTTCTTAGAATTGAGTTCCGCTGCAAGTTTGTTGATGTCGAATGCAATGCCCTTTCCAGCAATATTGAAGTCCTCGGCAATCCATGACTGTAGTTTGCCTCTAAGAGACTCTAGCTTGCTGTAAGCATCCATAGCCTCCTTGATATTGTCGGTACCGAGAAGAGACTCTATCGCTGCTGCTCCATTGACATCCCCATAGACATCGCGGAGGGTGTCGGCATAGCCCTGCAGAGCCTCACGGAAACGGAGTGTATTGGTAATCTCCTCATTGCCCGGAGCCAAGGCAGCAAACCACCTCTTGGCGGTCTCGTCACCGATACCCATCTTCTTCATCTGCTCATAGGCAGACATCAGTTTCTTGACAGTCTCTATCTGCGCCTCGAGTTCTATCTGCTCTGGACTCTTGCCCTTCTTTTTCTTGATCTTGTCATCGATGCTGACTCCGAGAGCCTTTCCGACCTCCTCTATAGCCTTCTTCTGCTTGACATAGGTCTTATACAGACTCTCGTTGTTCTGCTTCAGGGATTCCATCTCGCTGTCGGTCAAAGAGACCTGCTTGTAGACCTTGCGCAGTGTATCCCAATACTCGACAAGGGAGTCGGTGTCGGTTGCCCAGAGGTTGCCCGCAGAGGACTGACCAAGTCCATTCTTTGTCAGCACCTCCTGCACCTTTGCCTGCCACCCTGTCGCGGTCTTCGTCAGCGATGCAAGTTCGTTCTTGTATTTCTTGACCATGTCGAGACGGGACTCATCCTTCTCCCCAAGCTCCTCGTAATATGAAATGAGGTCGGATACTCGGGAAATCTCAAGTCTCTTGACCTCGGCATCGTACTGGTCGGCATCCAACTTCTGCTCCTTCAACCGATTCTTCGCATCCTCGTAATCCTGATTGATGGCATTGACAGCATCGAACTCGGCCGATGTTGAGTATGAAGTGGTTGTGCCGAAGATACCGTCAAGGGTTCTGCTGAATGACCTTGCAGCCTGATCCGCTTCGATAAAGGACTTTCCAAGATACCTGCCCTGCGCAGCCATCTCACCCAAACCTACAAGTTGCTTTCCGGGGAAGAAATTCTCCATCGTCTCCACAAACTTGGAGAAAGCCAAATCGGAATCACCAGACTTCAGTATCTCCTGACGGAAACGAGAGATGGCAGCAGAAGCCTTATCCTCGCTGACACCCAAATCTCCGAGCCACTTGGTGATATTCTTGATGTACTTTGTCTGGTCTTTCACATACTTCTCGTTCATCTCCTGCACACCCTGCTCGTATGCGTATGCCTTTGACCTGTTGTAGATGGACTGGACTACGGCATCCGACATCTCCTTGATTTCGGCAAGAGTGGTCTTCTCCGTAAGAAGGTTCGGGAGATAATCTCCATACTGCCTGTTAAGGCGTTCTATGGCTTCCCTGTACTCCTGCGAACCCTGAGTCATGCCCTCCATCGAACGTATGAGTTCCTCAAAGGTCTTGACACTCTTCTCTGCCTCGACAAGCTTTGTCTGACCTATCTTGTGCAGACTGTTCTCCAACTCATGCGCAGCCTTGGATGCCTGCACTATCGCAGAGGTGACAAGAGCAACGGCAGCAACAGTGCCACCGATGGCGAGACTACCCATATTCACTCCCATCTTCTTCAATGCCGTAGAGAAGAAATTAGCCTGCATTCCCGCAGCGCGGAGAGTGTTGGTCATAACCTGCACATCGGTCACCCACTTGATTGCGTTGAGAGTCAGCATCATCCCCTTGAAGGCTCCGAAGGATACTATAACAGGTGTTATGATATGCCCGAGCTTCTGGTAGTTCTCAATCATGCTCCTCACGGCATCAACGGACCCCTTGAGGAATCCCTCCTGATTCTCGCCAATCTCGGAGAACATAATCTGATAGGCATCGACAAGGTTGGAGAGCTTCCCCTTCAATGTGTCGGCCTGTATCTCCTGCATATGGTAGAACTTGCCACCTTCGGATGTCATATCCTTGAACACCTTCGCCACCATCTCGAACGGAACCTGTCTCGCGGAGATCTTGTCGAAGACATCTCCAGCGGATATGGCAACTCCGTTCATTGCCTCGAACTGCTTGCGGAGTTCCTCCAGGATCGGGATTCCCGCTTCGGTCAATTGTCGGACTTCCTGACCACGCAGGAAAGATGCGCTACGAATCTGGCCATATGCCAGCACAAGGCGAGACATGTCAACGCCAAGTCCGGCAGACGCATCTGCAAGCATCTTTGTGGTGTCAGTACTCTGCGTTGATACCACTGCTTATGCAGACAACTGCTTCGCATAGGACGCGAGTTCCTTGAACTGGAACGGAGACATCACCGCCAACTCCTTCATCTGCCCGAAGAGCTTGTTCGCCTGCTCTACATCACCGAGAATCGCAACCAAAGTGGTTCTCTGCAACTCAAACTCCGCAGATACATTGACGAGGTTCTTGACAAGCCTTGTGGCACCGAGAATGGAGACATATGACCCCGCCAATGCCGTCATCTCCCTGAGGAGTCTGGACTGACTGGAGATGGAACTTGAACTTTGAGCAAGAGACTGATTCAACTTAATCTGCGCAGCTGCCGTCTTTGCGGTTGCTGCTGCCGTCCTCTCACTCGCCCTTGCCCTCTCGTTCTCCAAGGCAATGTCTACACTCTCCCTCGTCCTCCTCAAAGCCTCGGCATTCTTCTGCTGCGCAAGCACCGTCTTCTCAGCTTCCCTGCGTATCTTCTCCTGCGCCTTCGCATTGTCGACAAGAATCCTGTTCTGCGCCCTCGCATTCTGGACATCACTGTCTGATGTCGCAGCGATGCTCGCCTGTATCTGAAGCAATTGGGTCACCGTGGCGTTGAGCTTCTGAGCAGCAGACTCGATATTCGCAATCTTCTTCTGGAAAGCCGTATCATCCAAGATGACCTGAAAATGTAATTCGTCTATATTTGCCATTTATGCAATGTTTATTGGTGCTCCTCTTCGGCAACACCGCTGAATAATTCTTCTACTGTAAAGGAGTCCTCCTCGTGTCTCGCCCTCCTCTCTCGCGCCCTCCTGTTAGCCTCTTCCTGAAGCCTCTCTGCCTCGCTCACATCCTCTTCGGTCACCTTGTCCTTTCTGCTCCTGTAGAGGGTGTGCGGAAGGTCACTCTGCATCAGTTCTATCTGTGGCATCGTGAGTTCACACCTGTACCCCCATGACCTCTCCCTTATGAGTCCAAAGAGGAGCCTTCTTGTCCGTCCGTACTCTGGGAACTTTTCAACGAATGCTGTCTCGCAGCCGAAAGAAGTTCTGCTCGGTACTGCTCGGCTTCCTTGCTCGTCATCTTCATCCAGTCGCTCCTCATATCCACCGAGAATGCCATATTGCTCCAGTGTGCCATAAGCTGAAGTTTTTTTTTACCGGCTTGGATGATTGGAAGCATCTGCTTCTCGTCATACTGCCGAAAATAAGCCCATACACGCCACATGAAGGGGTAAAGGATACGAATCTTCCAATAGGAGTTCAAGACCATCAGGACGGCCTCCTTTATGGTGAAATAGGGTTCAATTGCCATTGACTTCAATGTATCCCCAGAGGTCTTCGGCATGGTGGAGTAGAGTTCCCGCTCCTGCCACAACCGAGTCAGCCTCTCTATGGTGTACGGCT